ATAATTAAACCAATTTTAGCTTGTAAATACGAAAGCAATGAACATTAAATCCTAAACTTAGGGTTTTTATTTGTTGCACATCAATGAACCCATAACATAACACGATGGACAAAGATTACCTTGGTTTACTAGATTTACCACGTCTTGGCATCCTCTGGTTGCATAATACAAATATTAATAATTGCTTAAAACACTAAGTAATGATGTACCTATAGTTGCAAAATACACATAATATATACCAAATCAATGCGTAAAAATGAGGAGGGAAGAGAGGATACCTTGCTCTCGAAGGTCTATGGATCAAATCAAAGTTTTCAAGGTCAAATTAAATGATTCAAGAGATTGGATGGGTTAGGGAGAAAGAACCCGAGAGAAAGGAGTAACAAATGAAAGAAGCCTCAGACCAGGAAAACTTGGTCGCTTTTGAATCCGAGCTCGGCGCTAGGGTTTATGGCGCCAAACTCGGTGCCAAGATCCGTGGCGCCCGAGGTACCACGCCACGTTAAGCCACCTCGGCTGCTCCATATCCCGACCACGCACCTCTGCGCCATGACCTATAGCGAGATGTGTTTCCAGTGCCGTGGTTCATAGTGCCAACCCAGAGTCTAAATTTTGGTTTACGGCATCCAAGGGTGTAACGTAAATATTTTACAAAAAGGGCTAAATTGAAAAAAAATTGGGCCCTCAGCAGTATTATTGCTGGTGTATTGTATAATACTCCTCCATCCCAAATTATAAAGTCATTCTAAGAATCTTGGAGAGTCAAAGTTTTTCAAGTTTGACCAAATTTATATAACAAAATAATAATATTTATCATACCAAGTAAGTATCATTAGATTCTTCATTAGTTATATTTTTATATTATACCTATTTGATGTCATCAATCTTTGTGTTTCTCTCTATAATTTTAGTCAAATTTGAAAAAATTTGACTCTCCAAGATTCTTGGAATGACTTACAGTTTAGGATGGAGGGAGTATATACTACTCGTCAGTGAGTTTCTACGTACCCCTTCGGTGACCTCGTGCCATTTTGACAAGTTCCGCTCGTCGCCCCAGCCGTTCGTGCCCAGCCCCTCTGGCTCTGGCGTCAAAGTATGCAGCTATCGATCGATTCCAGGTGATTTATCGGCGTTTGACCTGGGGGATCCTCCAATTTTGGCGTGTCATATTAGGGCTCTACGGATGGCGACTGGCCAGGCAAAATGTGCGGAACAAATTCACACTTGTTCCATCTTTCCATGGTCCAATTCTACAATAATCTGCCGAACTGCACTTTTGTTCTGGAATTCTTACCGGCCGGTCGCACCTTGATCACATTCTCCAGTTAGTTAGCTACCTGATCTAACTCAATCGAGGCACTATTTTTTCGGAGTTCTAAACACCCATAAAGGGTATTTCCATTGAAATACCCAAACAGGATATTCGCTTAAAAATATCATGGCTTTGCAAAATCATGAGGTGTTTGGATGTGAATTTTGATTAGTTTTGTAAACCATATTATTCCTAAAACTAGTCTTTTGGGTGGAACTAGACATTGTCGTGCACAATCAGCCCTTTTGGTTTGACAAGTTCTGTCCATCAAATTGAACTCAGTCTAGAAATGAGATGGACTCGGCCATACTCCCCGCCGCACATAATTCACGTGTTTCCAGGAATTCAGGATATATTGAGTAGAGCAGTCAAATTAAACTTGTTCCAAAATCATTGAAGTTGTTAAGATGAGAAGTAAACGGCATCTGGCTTTCCCTTTGACCGTTCATCCGCTCATCCGTCCAAGAATCGCATTTCATCGGGAAAGGTACTGCCAGACTCCGTTCACCAACATTTGCAAAGGCAACATATACGACGGGCTCAGTGGCGATCAAGAATAATAGAAAATTGCAATCACGCATTGAAAGAACGGGATAAAAGACGGACAATTTCTATCCAGAAATCTTTTCATCGGCCTGTGCAAGCATCAGCCTGCCGGCCACACTTTGGCTCCGTGCAGAAAGAACCTTCTGTGTGCAAGCCGTCCTTTATGTGCATTTTCTGGAACATCATGCACCAAAAGCTTATCTGCCTGGCAAGCTTTCGGCAATCCCGACAAAGGAGCCAGTTGAGCAAGTGCATCCAAAACCTGCCCTTCCGGACCATTTTTTTTTTAACATCGGACCCATTTTCTATTAGTGAACAAATGGCATAATCATTTGCGCCTCCACTCAAGAAGAAAAGAGAGAGAACAGTCAGACCCTTCCAAATGTGTTTAAATAAGCACGTTGTGTTAGAGCCAGGTTTAAACCGAAGTGTTTGCAAACTTCCAAGGATTCCAGAAGAGCAGTGCAATCGTCTGCACATTCTTTCTGACATTCCTTTGAAGCTTTTAGTGTCTGTGCAAGTGAGAGAAACCCTGCTTAATCATCATTTATTTTTCAAAAGGGCAAGAACATTGTCGCGCATATTGAGTTGATCCTGTTTTTATGGCAAAACCGGGTCTAAAAACCAAAAACTGCTCGGCTAAAAGAGCGGCATGAATAATCAGGTTTCCCAAGGACAAACCAATTCATGGTCAAACAATGGGTACATTCAAGGGGACTCAAAGCATCCTTACGTAATATCCTTGTCATGATGCCAAGTCCACATCATCTGAGCTAGCAGCCAGGCCCAGGTCCAATGCACATCTCATTTGGCTCTTACCTGCACAACGGGAAAAAAAATACAGCAGTTGCACAGCATAACACGTTTCTGAAGTGTGGGCCTATGTCGCAAAAGTCCAACCTGTGGCCGTATTAATCTAGTTAACTAATAACCATGACCGAATCAAAGCTTAGAAAGGAGCAATGTTTAAGGTTTTACCCCGATGAGGACAAGAAGCAACTGCCCCACTACCAACTAGGAATACAGAAACATTTTTCTTCAACCATTTCATGTTTTGATCAGTTCAACTGAGCTCTTTGTAGCCTTGTTTAAGGCCTCCCATACCCTTGCATGCGTGCGTTCTTATGAGCATATCCATTGCTTGGACCCCGTAACCGGCCCATACAATAATTGACCAGAGATTCTTCTGAATCTGGTGATGCAAGATTGTTTTGCTTGAAACGCTATTTGGTAGCAGCTGGCTTGTCCATTAGCTAGCTCATTGCATAGACTTCTCCAAAGATAGCCATCAGAGTTAGCTGTGGTCTGCTGCAACTTGTGTGGAGGCCTAGCCGTGAAGAGCAAGGCATGGTGGCGATGCAGCAGCTGCTACTTCTGTTCTTGCTCTTGGTATATGTCCGGCCAAGTTTCAGTCAGACGAACTCCCAAGATGGTAAGCCTTGATTTTTTTGCATTTGATCAGGATATAGGAAGCATGCTGCCATCTTTTTAGGCTAGAATTATCCACAGAGTGCCTGTTGACCTGAAAAAAATGTTCAGCTAGATTAGTTCTACCAGGATGATAATCTGAGAATGTTTTGATTACAATGAACATTAGTCAGCACCAGATAAAAAAATATTTAACCTAATTCAGTTACATCAAAGTTTGTTCATTTTAAATTTGGCTGTCTTGAACTTTTTAGAATTATCTCTATTCAACAAAACAAGAAGATTTTTTCGGCATATAGTCAGTTTGTGTTACCTTTGAATTAATGTTTTTGCATCAGTTCATTAGTCAAGGTTGTGCAGAACTGTAATGTAATCAAATCCACAAGATCAAATGGAACAAATTCAGAAAGTCATGGTTATGTATGAAGTATGTTCTCATGATAAAACATAAAGCTTAACACTGAACAGCGTTCCCTTTTTTCCTTGCTATTTTCTTTCTTAGGCTTAACTCTCTGACTTCCTTGAAATGGTACTTGCATATATTCCTCTCACATGAATTTACGATCCTAAGAACTAATCAACTACTAGAGTTATTAATGAAGAAATTATCAACTAATGTTAGCTTAATGATTTCTACAGTTGCTGCACTTAAAGGCTTTGATGAATAATTGGCGAAATGAACCAGAAAGCTGGACAGGTTCAACCGATCCCTGCACCTCCTGGGTTGGAATTTCCTGTTCCAATGGTCGGGTGACAGAAATGTGAGTGCTCAATAAACCTTCTTCTCTTAACAAATAATCAAACGCTCTGATGAAACCTGGTGTTTGCAGGAGATTAGCAAGCATGAATCTGCAAGGTACATTAAGCAATGCCATAGGCCAACTATCTGCTTTGAAATATCTGTGAGTCCACTGTCCTCGGAATGAAAATAACTCACTTTAACTAACAATAATACTTACGTATTTTCTCAAGAAATCTTATCACAACATAGAACTACAGTCAGTTAGATGCTACAACCTACCAGTTTACCTAGGGATCAACAGAAGAGAAACATACGTTAAGCTACTGCCATAAACTACATGCAGGGATCTGTCTAACAACCAAAACCTCGGGGGTCCACTTACTCCAAATATTGGAAATCTGAAGCAGCTCACCACTCTGTAAGAAATAACATTTCATGACAACACTATTTTTTTTGAGGGATCTGCAAAGATCACCAAAAAGGAGGAGGAACGTTGACCTATCTTGGTTCTCTCAGGATTTTGCTTGGATGCAAGTTCACAGGGAATATCCCGGAAGAAATAGGCAACTTATCACAGCTCACATTCCTGTAAGAAGTCACTCAAATTCAGAAGAAAATAAAAAACGGACAATATTCTGTTTGTCATGTGAATTCAGTTAACTATTTCCTTGTGCAGGGCACTAAACTCAAATAACTTCACTGGTGGAATTCCACCAACACTTGGCCTCCTTTCAAATCTTTTCTGGTTGGACATGTCAGCAAATCAGTTGTCAGGACAAATACCAGTTTCTCCAGGGTTGAATCAACTTGTCAACACGAGGCATTTGTAAGTTCTCAAATGTTTTACCAACTCTAGCATAAAAGAACAAAACCCGTAGCTTAAATTTCTAAATGGGTACGGATGCATACATGCAATCAACAGCCACTTCAGTGAGAACCAGTTGACAGGCCCGATGAGCGAAAGCCTTTTCAGTGACAAGATGAACCTTATACATGTGTAAGCTGTGTTCCTCATTTGCAATAGCAACTCTCTATTTATTTCTGTCACCACAGTATGTCACTGCTTTCTGTAACCGTCGCCAGGATATTTAATAATAACAACTTTACTGGACCAATCCCAGCATCTCTTGGAAAAGTCAAATCACTTCAAATAATGTAAGTACCAGATAAATCATGTTCTCCATCAATCTTGCACAGTGTTTTGAGCATTTTCACAATTGTTGCCAGCCAACTAGATCATAACCAGTTCAGCGGTCCAGTTCCCAATAGTATTGCCGCCCTAAGTAACCTGATGGAACTGTAAGTAACTAAATTTCAATGAATACCAACGGATATTTCATGATACTAGAAAATTACATTGCAAATATCCCTTATGGTTCTTGGCTTCTTGCAGGAGTTTAGCAAACAACCAACTGAACGGGACCGTGCCGGATCTCACTGATGTAACCCAGCTAGATTATGTGTAAGAAAAATATACCACATTCAAGTTAAAGATTTGTTTTCTGAGGTTAATTTTTTCTTTATCTAAGCAGAGACCTAAGCAATAATAACTTTGCAAGCTCGCCAGCACCAGGATGGTTTTCAACGTTGACATCCCTAAATACCATGTGAGTTTTTGAAGATTAACGAAATCAATTAAATGTAAAACTATAATACAGATAATTTTCTGGTTGGATATGCAGATTTATGGATAATGATGATCTTAATGGGACAATCCCTAGTGCTATGTTCAGTCTCCCCAACCTGCAGCAAGTGTAATTCATTATTGACTTGTTCCATGATTCCCTTGAATATCTAAAGAGTTCAACTGAGTAATTTGTTGTGCATTCTGCGATGTCACAACTTGTCATGCAGATCACTAGCTAGGAACGCGTTCAGTGGGAAACTTAATCTGACAGGTAACATCAGCTCGCAGTTGCGGGTTGTTAATTTGACATCTAATCAAATCATCGAAGCAGATGTAACGGGTTACAGCAACAGCCTTATGTAAGCATTGTCCTCTCAAACAGAAATGATTAAATGCTTGCATGCTTACCGCCATGCGTTTTTTAGCCATCATGGTTTTTGTTCTTATCCAGATTAACAGAGAATCCTGTATGTTTGGATAACATTAGTTTCTGCACACTCAAGCAAAAGCTGCAAGCGCCATATGCCACTAACCTTGGCCCATGTGCTGCCATTCCATGCCCTTTGATCAGTCAGCAAGTCCAGTCACTTCACAGAACTGTGCATGCACCAATCCCTTTCAGGGTTTGATGATCTTCAAGCACCCGCCTTCTCTGATGTCATAAGCCCCACGATGTTCCAACTTCTGGAGTCAACGCTTATGCAGAACCTTAGCCTGGCACCAAGATCAGTTGCCATTTCCAATGTTCAATTCAGTCCAGGAAACCCTCTAATATTGACAGTGAAGATTTTTCCAGCCAGTGGAACGAGCTTCAATCGCTCAGAAGTCATAAGAATCATTTCTCCTCTGGTCAACCAAACTTATAAAGCCCCAACTAATTTTGGACCATACAGCTTCATAGCGAGCACATACTTTCCAGGTATGTAAACAGTACCATTCCACAAGGTGTGTACCATCTTTGTCTGACGTATGTTGAATTGCTAATCGTCCATTTCAGCTCCCAGCAATAAAAAGTCCTCAATGGGCAAGGCAGCAATAATTGGAATAGCAATCGCGGGTGTTGTCCTTATTCTTGGCCTTATTGTGGTAGCAATATATGCTCTACGACAGAAAAGAATAGCCAAGGAGGCAGTAGAGCGAACTACAAATCCTTTCGGTAATGTGTTATTTCACAGCTAACTTCAGTCCAATAGAAGATGTGGTATATATGTGCATGCACTTGTATCCATTTTGAGCTAGCTACTATATTTAATTCGAGGGTACCCTTTAATTCTATGTGTACCAAAGATTAAAGACTAGGAAGATAACTGTACTTAGAAGCATAATGATATGTCTCCAGATTCATTCTTGTTAATGCGTTGTTACCACAGCATCATGGGGAGCTGGTGGGACAGACAACGGAGATGCACCACAACTGAAGGGTGCAAGATACTTTTCATTCGAGGAACTGAAAAAATGCACCAATAATTTCTCAGAAACTCATGAGATAGGATCCGGAGGATATGGGAAGGTAATTCAGTTGCCGTGTTGGCCTGTTCACAGCTAGACACATGTGTTTGCGAAAGCATCTAACATTATATTTTACTCTGTTATAAAAGGTGTACAAAGGAACACTAGCAAACGGGCAAATAGCTGCAATAAAACGCGCGCAGCAAGGATCCATGCAAGGTGCAGCTGAATTCAAGAATGAGATAGAACTGCTGTCCAGGGTTCATCACAAGAACCTAGTGAGCCTAGTGGGTTTCTGCTACGAACAAGGGAACAGATGTTGGTTTATGAATATATTCCTTATGGGACATTAAGGGAGAACTTGATGGGTAATTTACTTAACTAGTACATATGCCTACACAAGAACATAGGACCTAACCATGACTTGATTGCAGGTAAAAGAGGAGTGAACTTAGATTGGAAGAACCGCCTCAGGATTGCCATTGGCTCAGCAAAAGGTCTAGCATACCTCCATGAACTTGCTGATCCACCAATCATACACAGAGATATCAAATCAACCAATATCCTTTTGGATGAAAGTCTCAATGCTAAGGTTGCTGATTTTGGTCTTTCAAAACTTGTGTCTGACACACAAAAGGGCCATGTTTCTACCCAAGTAAAGGGAACATTGGTATGTATTTTGGATATTCTTTGGTGTCTGTTCACCTAAGAAACACTTTTGCTGATTCCTCTTTTTGCATTGTTGCTAGGGCTATTTGGATCCTGAATATTACATGACGCAACAGCTCTCTGAAAAGAGTGATGTCTACAGCTTTGGAGTTGTCCTGCTAGAACTAATAACTGCCAGCCAGCCCATAGAGAAAGGCAGGTATATTGTCCGTGAGATCAGGACAGCAATAGATCAATATGATCAAGAATACTATGGCTTGAAGGGCCTAATCGATCCAAAAATCCGGGATTCAGCTAAATTAATTGGCTTCAGGAGATTTATACAGTTGGCTATGGAATGTGTGGAAGAGTCTGCTGTTGACCGCCCAACAATGAATGATGTGGTGAAGGAACTTGAGATCATCATACAGAATGAAGGGGCACAATTGTTAAACTCAGCGTCTTTATCAGTTGAACAATTTGGAAACGAAAAGAGTCGAGATCCTTATGCAGAACATTTGCCTATGAATGATGAAAGCAGCAGCAACACTTTTGACTACAACAGTGTGTATTCATACTCAGCTGTTCAACCAAAGTAGATAACAGTCTCCGCTCTTTGTTTTTTTGTTGAGGGATGAATTGTACGACATTAATTTTTTTTCTGTTGATAAATCAATGAATGAATATTTCAGAAATACAATGGCAAAATGACTTGCTTAAGATGAAACAGCAGTGAATGTCTGGTCTATCGATAAAACCATTCATGCCCCTGTACTCCTTTACACTTACAACATAAAAAAAATGTCTGAAAACAAATATCTCTTTTCTACATGCCAAGATAAACATTATTATGTGATATGAACTGTTTCTCCCGATGCATTTGTAATTTCATATAGTTATCAGATGTAAGTCCATTAGTTCTGCAAACAATCCTACATCAAGATTGAAGGCAGCACCATTCCATATGGTTATAAATTACAAACTAGCTACCATTTCTTGACAAGTTTATGTCAGATTGGCCAGTTGGATCAAGAACTAGTCCAAGACAATATCGGAGAGAGGCCATGGCCATGTTCTTGTCAGTGGATGCCAATATGTGAGTACAAAGGACTGATGAGGGACAATATTATAACTGATGTTTGCCCTTTGTTGACAAACAAATGATTTAGTAGAGGCATTGCCCATGTGTGTTGAAATATCTTTGTTTTGGTTATATTAATTAACAGTAATGAAGATAACTCAGTCATTACGACTGTAATGCATGTCTGCTGCACTTCTTTAGAAGTAGCAGGGACAAGTGCTATGAAAAATGTTCACTGCACTAATTGAGTCCCATCTGCAGCCAGTTGGGAGAACGGGATAATTCAAAGATATGAATACTCAGAAGCTAATGAAACCAAAAATATCAATAAACAAACTTGAATTTAAGACGTGGGCAAAACAAGAAAGTACCCTGCAGAAACAATGGAAGTAACTATGTCGTTATCAGAGCTTCCAAAGCATTGACATCGTTATTTCAGTCCACCTCATCATACACTGGATCAATGAAAAGAATAATATCAACTACATGACATGCAAAAGCAAAAGTATGATGAAATGACAAAAAAATACTGTATCCCAGCCACATTAAGTTACAACCTGTAAGCATGAGCAGGCTACACAAATTTAAATAACAAAACAGACACCAGTTGTCACAAACACATCCATGTTCAAAAGTTTAAAGAAACATGTTGACAGCATTGTGACTTGCACCAAGCCACCAAAGACCTATACCTGGGAGAGTCCTCAGACAACAGGTCATTCAGGGATCCATGGAAGAGTCGGTAATCCTTATGCAACTCTGTTGTTTTACACGCCTTTCCATTTCCTTGGCTTACTCTCTAGTTTATCACTAAATTTGCAGCTGGTGCAAGTCTCATGAGGAATATGCAAGCAAGTGTAGATTGTAAACCTTAGAAAGCTCCACTCCTTAAAGCATTCACAACAGCTTTGTGGAACCCTGAGGTTCAGTGTGTTTGTCGCTCTCAAAATGAAGGCACTGTCCATCCTTCTACTGATATTCATGATTTTGGCCAGTCTTCCTGCACTATTCTGTGATACAAATCCCAAGATGGTAACTATACAACCTTGGTCTCTGAAACTTTCTATTCTTACTTAGACTAGGCTTGCAAAGTTATAGCTTAAGCATCTTGAAGTCTGACAAAACACACAGATTTGCTAGATGAGAAACCTTTTATATGCCACACTTAGTTTTCAGAAACAATCTTGTTCTCTCCAAAGAAAAAAATGTTTCATGTTTTAGCATGCCTTTATCTTGAAGTATGTAATATCCAATGAAATATTGCTATGATAAGCACCATATCAAATGAAACAAAAAAGTATCATTCTTCTTTATTTCTCAAGTTGGTGACTTTTCCTAATTTATATTGTGAGTTAGCAAATAAAGAGCAGCTAGCAATAAAAGAGATGGCAGTATCAACTATCAAACCACGCAAATGAGAAAGTAACTCAATTCAGTGTTATGTAAATTGCTCAATTGATAATAACACAGATACCAATTGACAGTGGCTGCACTTCAGTCTCTAATTAAAGTGTGGCAGAACTTCCCATCAAGTTGGGAAGCATCAAATGATCCCTGTGGTGCACAATGGGATGGCATTATGTGCAACAATGGGCGAGTCATATCAATGTGGGTATCAACTAATAATGTTTTACTAGTTTTACTTTAACTTTCCGTCCATTGAATTAAAATCCATGTTTCCAGGAGGTTATCAAGCATCAATCTTCAAGGCACATTAAGCAACAGTATAGGCCAGCTCAGCGAGCTTGCTTACCTGTGAGTCATTTTGCATAGATAATTAAAGTTTATAAACTATCTTTAGCACTGTATTTTCTGGTTCTAATTGATAGACATATCAGAAGAGTCTGCTCAGCATTTGACTGCATAATTACTTTATTTCCATGTATTGAAAAGTAGTTTTGAAAATCTAGAATCTATATTTAAAGTTTATAAATTATCATTGGCACCGTATTTTTCTGGTTCCAATTGATAGACATATCAGAAGAGTCTGCTCAGAATTTGACTGAATGATTACTTTGTTTCCATGTATTGAAAAGTAGTTTTGAAAGTCTGGAATCTTGTAGTTATTACTATTTACTAGAAAGCATGACTTCAAATTTAAGCTATATACTGAAAGATTTTGGCTCCCAGATATGGGGTGGAAATTGCAAGTTAATCCCTTCCAGCCAAGCCCAGTATTCAATACATGTTAAAAACATTCAAGAAAATGGTTGCTGCTGCACTTCTATCCGAATATCCTATGCAAATGTCTAGAGTTTATGGACGAGTTTCCTAATTCAACTGTGTAATATGGCTTTCATGTGTGCACTAAATAGTTAAAACTAACGGAGTGGATTTCAGCTTACAGTGTCAACAACCTCCAGGTTTCAAACTTTCAATTGATGTGCACCATAGAAAAGGAACTTCCTAATTTACCTCCATAAGACATCATATTCAATTCAACATTTGCTGATCTCCTACACAGGAGGTCTCATTTATAATACTCCAGAGCTTGGGACTGAACTCCATCCCTCCAACTTTCACTAGCAAATTTTCAAGCTGGTGGTACTGGGCAGTCAAGGAAGTGGAGAAAGAGACTATAAAGGGGCTCAATTCACTTATCTTTTTTTCTCCAACTACGCAGGAGAGCTGCATGTCATTTCATTAAGATAGAAAAAAGATGCAACGAGCCAGAGTTTAGAAAGAACCCGGACATGAGGTCCCCAATACACACAGAAAATTAGACTATGCCTTTGCCAGAAGAAGAAAAAAATACGACCACCTGACCACACAGGAGACTAACTACCTGGGGTCAGCGACCTCGCCAAGAGACCGCTAAGCTTTGAAGCTCCCGCCATGCACCAAAGACTACATTCATCCCCTACAGACTGTAACAGCACTTGAATGTTTGGTGAGGTTCCTTCAAACACACAGGAGTTCCGATGCTTCCAGACTTCCCAAGAAACTAGGATGATGAGGGAATTCAGCCCATTCCTCATCTCCATAGGCACCCTTCTGATGGCCGACTTCCACCAGCCAGAGAAATTCGAGGCCGTAGGTGAGGGCGCAACAACGACCAGGTTCAACTGTTGAAGGAAATCTGGAAACATCATTCTATCATTCTAGTGGTTTAGGAAATCTGGAAACATCAGAACAATTACAGCTTTTAATGGCGCAAGTCCGAGTGTCAGGGCTGTGCTGCAGACAGTCCAGATGAACATCTTGTGCTGCTCTGCTGTAGCAACTAGCAAAGGCATTCCAGGAGCTGCTGCCAGGTCGTTTTCTGGGGATAATACCCCTGGTCCTGGTAGTTTGATGGTTGCCCACTGTTGAAAAGGGCCATTTGTGTCTTGTTTTCTCCTGATTGTGGTGTGGGTGTGTTTATGTGAGTTTTGGGTGTGTTTTTGGGGGGCTATGTCCCTCTTGTGTAATCTTCTCTCTTAAAGAAATGATACATAACTCTCTTGCGTGTTTGAGGGAAAAAAGACATCATATTCACTCATATGTTATGGTGCATGCAGGGACCTTTCGTCCAACAGTGGTCTTAGTGGCCCACTACCCACTTCGATTGGCAACCTCAGGCAGCTCACAACACTGTATGTCCTGACCCTAAGGGCAAATTCTTATATATCATAATGCATCAATGAAGCTTACCTAATGCGTTGTGATCTTCAGAATCTTGGCTGGCTGCAGCTTCACAGGAGGCATCCCCGAAGAATTAGGAAACTTGGTGCAGCTCTCATTCTTGTAAGAATTATTACACTGACAGAAAATCTTAATCCCAACTCAGTGTTCTTGTTACCTCTCTGCTGCTGCTTTGCCTATACTGATGAAATGAACTAGCAATGAAATATACTCTGCAGGGCAATGAATTCAAACAGATTTACAGGCAGAATTCCTGCTTCAATTGGCCTACTCAAAAACCTCTTCTGGCTAGACTTGTCAGAAAATCAACTTTCTGGTCCTGTTCCGATTTCATCAACCACTTCTCCAGGACTTGACCTACTTACAGACACCAAACATTTGTAAGATCCTCTAACATTTCTTATCTCCCATAAATCAAGAACGGATGATCAGTATGCATGCTTTTACTCATGCTCCTACCATGCTGATACTCTGTTCCGATCAATTAACAGCCATTTCAGTAGAAACCAATTAACTGGTAATCTCGACGGCCTCTTCAGCCCTAGCATGAGACTCGAACATATGTAAGGCAGCACTAATTTCTAATGCTAGCAATGCTTACACATTAAAGTATTGTACTGACCACTTTGTTTGTCTTCGTAAGATTATTTGACAACAACCAATTGACTGGTCCTATCCCTGCTGAACTTGGTAGCATCACTACCCTCCAGATTCTGTGAGTATCTTGGCATTTTTCTTTATTCCAACCATATTCTCAGCATTAATGTTGACTTCTTTGCATCTTCATCAGCCGATTAGACAATAATAAATTCACAGGAGCAGTTCCAACCAATATCAGCAACCTAGTTGACCTAAATGTACTGTAAGTGCTGTATCATTTTGACCTCCCGGTCAAATGACTAACACATTTGCGCAAGTTAAGAGTTTCCAGTGTATTTCGTTTGAATAACTATCTTCTGTAGGAATTTTGCAGACAACCAGCTGCATGGAACAATGCCAGATCTCAGTACCCTGACAAAACTTAATGTGGTGTAAGATATCGCCCTTGTCTTCTATTCTGCACTGTCATCAGATATAAACATGGTGCCAAGTACTAATGAATTTTCTTTTTCACACCCAGCGATTTAAGCAACAATTCATTTGATCCGTCTGCCATACCAACCTGGATGCTGACACTGGAAACACTTGCTTCAGTGTGAGTTGTTTAAGACATGCACTACAAGTCTCACTGCACTATATTTTCTCATTTAGTGAAACAATGTCACCTTGTAAAATCCTAACATGCAGAGCAATAGCTTCTGGAGGACTGCATGGTCAGATTCCCAACAGGATCTTTACCTTGCCCAGACTGCAGCAAGTGTAATTTTCTGGAAACATACAAGAAGATAAATTTTAATAACTAGCGAAGTTTCACATGTTTGCTTATTTTGTCACTGATCAGACAGTATTCTAAGCAATAATGCCTTCAACGGGACACTTGACATGACTGGCAACATCACTCAACAACTGCAGCAAGTCAATTTGCTAAACAATCGTATAGTTGCAGCCAATATAACACAAAGCTACAACAGAACACTAGTGTGAGTACTTGCATGCTTCAAAACCAAAGATGACATGCTGCTTCTAGTCTCCATTTACTCACTAGAATTGCCTCTTCCTCTATCGGCAGACTTGTGGGAAATCCTGTGTGCTTGGATCCTGATTTCTCCAGTAGCCGCTTTTGCAGTATCCAGCAAGATAGCGCTACATCATACACTACTAGTGTAACCCATTGTGGTTCAACTTCTTGTTCCAGTGATCAAAGTCTAGACCCTGCGAACTGTGGCTGTGCCTATCCCTACATGGGTATGATTTTCTTCAGGTCACCATTGTTTGCAGACTTGAGAAACAATGAGCACTTTCAGCTACTGGAAGCTAGCCTCTCAACAGAGCTGGGACTGCAACCTGGTTCAGTTTTCCTTTCTGATATCCACTTCACCAGTGATAATTACCTCCAAGTTCAAGTCAGACTATTTCCATCGATCGGAACATCCTTTAACTTGTCAGAAGTAACGAGGATAGGCTCTGATCTTAGCAATCAAAATTACAAGCCACCACAAGGTTTTGGACCTTATTACTTTGTTGCAGATCCATATGTCCACTTTGCAGGTATTAAAATAATCAAATCTAATCATGTAAAATTATGTCTGTATGCAAGTAATTATGCATGAAATACATTAGGTTATCTTGTCTCAGGAGCAGCTGACGGTGGAAAATCGCAAGTAAGCACAGGTGCTATCGCTGGAATTGCAGTAGCATGTGGTCTTATTCTGATTGCTGTAACTTCTGGGGCAATATTTTCTTTATTACAAAAGAGAAGAACTAGGGAATTATCAGGACGAACAAATCCTTTCGGTGAGATTCCAAATAATATGGCTGACAACTGTATAGCTCTTAAAGCTACCAAATATTTCTTTAAGAAGAAAAACATTAAATTATCAGAATGTGTTTTCCATGGTTGCACCATTTAATAAAGTTCTTTATTTTGTAGTAAATCTATACACATCTATAGAAAACCAGTGAGAAAGACACACCGATAAAACTAATAAAACCAGATAAAAAGTCTACATAACCTCTCATTGATGAAGCGAAAATGGGAAACATATGTGCCATTTATTTGAAGAGAATGGATTGTAACAGTATAGAGTACCAATGGTTTGCTAGAGCTGTTACAGACTTCCAGATGTATAACAAATACAGCTTATTGGTGCTAGATTGTAGAAAAAATACAATTTTACTTCATACAAGAATATCAATGTTATCATGTTACGAGATTATCTAGTGGTGTAATTAAGCAGGATTCAAGCTAGTTAACTAAATGGTAGCCTGATAGGCTATAATTTAGAGATATGATAAAAATATACAACAGAATTGACACAGCTATGTATACGAACTAGGCCAGCATGCCAAACCAACATCCAATTTTCGAATCCTATTTGTTAAATACCCAGCCTTTCAAAGCTTACAATTGTAACAGAAAATGTGTCTAACTACAAAAATATATTAATCAAATCAAATGCGTGTAAGCAGTAATAACGCAGAGAAAAGAACAAAAGCACTGTAGTTCGATAAAACTTCGCTGATTATTTACCTCATGCATATTCAAATTTTAGCTTCATGGGGAATCGCTAAAAAAAGACAGTGGAGGTGCTCCACAGCTGAAAGGAGCAAGGTTCTTTTCCTTTGATGAACTGAAGACCTGCACCAACAATTTCGCAGAGAACAATGAAATAGGATCAGGAAGTTATGGAAAGGTAAACTGCTATTTATACAAAATATATGATGGAATAAAAACATTATCCCAGCCTCTGCATTATAGGAGTTCCTTTTAAGGGATTTTACACGGACAGCTAATGTAGGGTTCATCTTCACATGTGAAAGGTTTACAAGGCAGTACTGGTAGATGGAACAAATGTGGCAATAAAACGAGCAGAGTATGGATCAAAGCAAGGTGCAGTGGAGTTCAAAAATGAGATTGAGTTGCTATCCAGAGTCCACCACAAGAACCTGGTAAGTCTGACAGGATTTTGCTATGAACAAGGGGAGCAGATGCTGGTATATGAATATGTCTCCAATGGGACATTAAGACAGAATTTACAAGGTATGTACATAAAACCTAGTAGCAAATCCTAAAGTGTTACATTCTTCCCTGTACCTTTCCTATTTTATAAGAAATATATTTGTTATGTAGCTAGAGGAATTTACCTGGATTGGAAGAAGAGGCTCAGGATTGCTCTAGGATCGGCAAGAGGACTAGCATATCTTCATGAGCTCGCCGATCCACCTATTATTCACAGAGATGTCAAGTCCACAAATATCCTTTTGGATGAAAACTTTAAACCAAAAGTTGCTGATTTTGGTCTGTCAAAGTTAGTTGCAGACACTGAAAAAGGCCACATTTCCACTCAAGTCAAAGGAACATTGGTAGGTTCTTCGGCCACAGTACTTCATCAATTATTATAAATCCTTTCCTTTGGTTAAGTTACTCTTGTCCTTGACGGTCAATTTCATGTCACAGGGCTATTTGGACCCAGAGTATTACATGACACAACAGCTCTCAGAGAAGAGCGACGTGTACAGCTTCGGTGTCGTCATGCTAGAGATACTGAGTGGCAGGCTGCCTATATCAAATGGAAGATATATCGTCCGGGAATTCAGGATGGCCATAAACCCCAATGACCACGACTACTATGGCCTGCAAGGCATCGTGGATCCAGCCATCCACGATGCCGCACATACTGCGCGGTTCAGGAGGTTCGTGCAGCTGGCCATGGAGTGCGTTGACGAATCAGCCTCACGGCGGCCCACCATGAACTCTGTGGTGAAGGAGATTGAGACGATGCTGCACAGCGAGGGGCTGAGCTCGGGCAGCTCATCCACCGTGGAGTTTGAGCACGTGGGGACCGCCTCCACCTCGCACCCGCACAGTGGAGAGGTGGTCACGGCCCACTAGAACAGCAGCATAGCAGAAGAACCACCCCGCCCAGAACTTAAACACAGCGAACCGTGGGGGAACTGCTCAGTTTGCAGTGTTTTCCTTTACCTGATCATTCGGTTGTATTGTATCACACGCTAGTTTACTTGATACATGTATTGTGCAAAATTTTCCCAAGGATTGCGAGCTGCTATATTACACAGAATTTTCCACAACCATAATTAGATTAACAGTACCCAATGTGGACATGAAATCATCTCTAGCGGAATTATTATGTAGCAAACGCATCGATCGAAGCCTCTGAAACCCGGCATTTACTAGTAGTTAGCAGAAACGCAAGACCCAATCGCCGTTTGCGGGGGCGGGGGCACTCGAACTCAAAACGGCTGGCGAGTTAGTGCGGGGGTTTAATTTAATTAGCGCGAGACGGAGAGAGAGTATGAAATTTAGTTATAGATTTTATTGGATTATGTATAACTTAGTTATATATTTTATTTAGGTTTATACTTGTTAAATATAAATAAATCTATAACTAAGTTATACATGATCGAATGAGTATGAAATTTTTACTACAGTTCAATCATACAATAATTAGCCCACCATAAAAATTTCATCACAATTGGACCATAGAAACTACAGATATGAATTCTTCTAATTAATTACATAAAAGCATAGATCTAAAGCCACAATAAAAACTTTGTATTAAAGTATACCATATTATATGTTCACTGTGTAGATCTATTCATGTGGAGTCCAACAAAATTAGAATTTTTATTTTATGATTTTTTGTGATTTACTATGATTTTTCAAAGATTCAGCCGAAATAAATAAAAAAGAAAAAGACAAAACCGCCTTCAAAACTGCTTATAACAGGGCCAGGAAGGTAAGATGAACAGTTTTTAAAGTTGAGGGAGATGTTTTGCCTGATTTTGAAGTTCAGAAAGAAAAAGTGGACTTTCGCGAAAGTTGAGGAAAATAATGTGAACTTTTTCCTTCTGTTATTATCCCGTTCCTCTAATAAACAGGCCGAAACTCTCAATTCTCAATGCTAGGCGGCCCGTGAACGTGTCGTTTCACTCCACGGCCTCGGCCAGACCCGGACTTACAGACGCCACGTGCCCAAACACATGAGTGAGTGAGCGCATGTCGATTGACGACCAACAGGCAACAGTACAACACGATTACACGACCACACCGCATCGACCGACTCATGGTGCATGTCATGCAAGAACAGGTCAAGAATAGACAGAAGAAGGGGCGGAGGCAGCCAGATCGGCGGTGGCTGGGCTAACGGACGCGCGGGCAAGACGGGAGGGGCATACATTTGCCGTTTGTGGGCAAACCACCGCGCCACGGACAGCGCGCGCACCGCTCCTTGCAACGGGCGACGGACCCATATAAGGCGTGGCCTCCCGGCTGCCTGTCCCCACTCGCTGTGCCCGCCCCCGCCACCGGCCGGATCGACAGCATCCACCACCTGACCGTCTGCTGCGCGCGGCGGCTCTCACACCGACACACAGGGCGCGCATTGGCGATCGAGGCCCCCCGCGAGGGATGGTGTGGTCGGCTGGGAGGATGGCAATGCGAGGCGCCTCCGCCGCGCTGCTCGTGCTGGCGCTCGTCGCCGCCGTGGCGCGCGCGGAGGACCCCTACCACTTCTTCGAGTGGAAGGTGACGTACGGGACGAGGACCATCATGGGGACGCCGCAGAAGGTGATCCTCATCAACGACTTGTTCCCCGGGCCTACCATCAACTGCACATCCAACAACAACATCGTCATCAATGTCTTCAACATGCTCGACCAGCCGCTCCTCTTCACCTGGTAAGTGATCCATCGATGCGTGCATGCATGATCAGGTCAGGATTTTGATGATCAATGGCTTATAATGCCGATGGAGGATTTTGATTGATTGCTCTGTCTGCTACGTGTGTGTATCTATATGCATGTATGTGCTTCGGCGTGCAGGCACGGCATCCAGCAGAGGAAGAACTCGTGGCAGGACGGCATGCCGGGCACCATGTGCCCGATCCAGCCCAACACCAATTTCACGTACCACTGGCAGCCCAAGGACCAGATCGGCAGCTTCTTCTATTACCCCAGCACCGGCATGCAGCGGGCGGCGGGCGCCTACGGGCTCATCAGCGTCCACAGCCGTGACCTGATCCCGGTCCCCTTCGACACGCCGGCCGACGACTTCCCGGTCCTGGTCGGCGACTGGTACACCAAGGACCACGCCGTCCTGGCCAAGAACCTGGACGCCGGCAAGGGGATCGGCCGCCCCTCGGGTCTCGTCATCAACGGCAAGAACGAGAAGGACGCGTCGAACCCGCCCATGTACAACGTGGAGGCCGGCAAGACGTACCGGTTCCGCGTCTGCAACGTGGGCATCAAGGCGTCCTTCAACATCCGCATCCAGAACCACATCATGAAGCTGGTGGAGATGGAGGGCTCCCACACCATGCAGAACGACTACGACTCCCTGGACCTCCACATCGGGCAGTGCCTGTCGTTCCTGGTCACCGCCGACCAGAAGCCCGGCGACTACCTGCTGGTGGCGTCCACCCGGTTCATCAAGGAGGCGAGCAGCACCACGGCCGGGATCCGCTACAAGGGGTCCAGCGCCCCGCCCCCCGCCAAGCTGCCGGAGAGCCCCAGCGGGTGGGCGTGGTCCATCAACCAGGCCAGGTCCTTCCGCTGGAACCTGACGGCGAGCGCGGCGCGGCCCAACCCGCAGGGGTCGTACCACTACGGCCAGATCAACATCACCCGCACCATCAAGCTCGGCATGGGCCGCGGCAAGGTGGACGGCAAGGAGCGGTTCGGCTTTAACGGCGTGTCGCACGTGGACCCCGAGACCCCCGTGAAGCTCGCCGAGTACTTCAACGCCACCGACGGGGTGTTCCAGTACGACCTCATCGGCGACGTGCCGCCCGCCAAGTCCGCGCCCACCAAGATGGCTCCCAACGTCATCCGCGCCGAGTTCCGCACCTTCATCGAGGTGGTCTTCGAGAACCCCGAGAAGAGCATCGACACCATCCACATCGACGGCTACGCATTTTTCGCAGTCGGGTAAATCCATATGATGAAGCTAAGGTTTTTGTGAGTGTGAGTGTGAGTGTGAGTGTGAGTGTGAGTGTGTTTGATTGGTATCGCTCGACGATCTGACCTCCATCCGTGTGCAATGTGCAGCATGGGGCCGGGCAAATGGACGCCAGCGTCTCGGAGTACGTACAACCTCCTGGATACGGTGAGCCGGCACACGATCCAGGTGTACCCGAGGTCGTGGACGGCGGTGATGATGACGTTCGACAACGCGGGCATGTGGAGTATCCGGTCCAACATCTGGGAGAGGAATTACCTCGGCGAGCAGCTGTACGTGAGCGTCACCTCGCCGGAGCGGTCGCTTAGGGACGAGTACAACATGCCAGAGACCAGCCTCCGCTGCGGCAAGGTCGTCGGCCTGCCAATGCCGCCGTCCTACCTCTCCGTCTAGAGCATCGGCCGGTTTTCCCTTCATCACGATGGCCGCGCACGGTGCTGTACACAAAGGAGTTCCCCCTCGTTTATTCTCGTCCCGTCGTCCGGTTCATTTTCGCTTCCGAGGAATAATAATCAAACAAAGGGGCTCAAGACTTTGGGCACCAGTCACTCACTCACTACCAGGGGCGACCATGGAAAGAGGCGATGGCCAGCTGCAAGCATGCATGCGGATGCATGCATAAGTAACACATCGAGATCAGACGCCGTCTCGAATCATTGTAGGAGTTAATAGTATATGATGATTGATTGATGATATATAAGCCTCTGTCTATCTAATAAGTCCCTCAGCCAAAATTGTTCTTTATATTATGTATATGTACATGCATATGTCTCGTGATTCAACTTTGATGATGTTTATTATCTTTCGCTTAATTTCGTACTGAACTTTGTAAGTTGATATATATGGATCAATAGATTACTGTAATCACTATATTGCAAGGATTCCAGTTCCAGCTGATAAAAAAGAGAGCACCCGTGAGATATTATTGTAACCACGTTAAAATTTGTAGCTCTAGGTGTTATTTGGACGTGGTCGGATTCATTCCACGTTGAAAGAATCAAGATGCTCAAAAGAATGGTGAATTGGACTAATTTTAAATTTCTTGCAATAATTAAGTCCTACACTTAGCCTATTTCACCCCATTGTCCCTAAAAGTATTTCTATTATTCTACCGCATGAGAGTTTTGCACCCTAGGTTCCAATCCTACTCTAGTATGACAATTCTAATAATGTAAAGACATTAATTGAATTGCTCAAATATAAATGCTCAAAGTAAAGAGAAGAAGAGGAACACGGCGATGTTTTTCCGAGGTATCGGAGAGTCACCACTCCCCACTAGTCCTCGTTGGAGCACCCGCGTAAGGGTGTAACTCCCCCTTGATCCGCGCAAGGATCAAGTGCTCTCTACGGGCTGATTCTTTGATACTCCATCGAGGAGAATCGCCCACAACCGTTCACACCATAACTTGGGTCATCCACAAGCTTCTCCGGATGATCACCAAGCTTCCAATCATCATCGAGCCATTTAGGCGATTGCGATCACCAAGAGTAACAAGCACAAACTCTCACTTGACCAAGATAAGCCTAATGAGAAAGGTGGATGCACACTTGCTACTCCCTATGCACTAATAAGGTCCTTAATCTTGAATTCTCAAATCTCAATCACACCACTAGGCTCTTGCTCTCTCTTGCACTCCAAAAGTGTTTCTCAGCTGAACAAATGGGCAAGAGAGCTAAGCTAGATGAGTGGGAGAAGTATTTATACTCTCCACTTCAAAACATAACCATTACTGTCCAACTCAGCACATTTACGTAGTGACCGGACGCGTCGGTTAGTGGCCAACGGCCACGAACACGTCAGTTGTCAGACTTGACCGTTAGAGTGACCTAACGCTGGTCAGCGTCCGGTCAGTGTCCACCTGACGCGTCCGGTCAAGAATTATCCTCTCTGGACCTTCTCGGTTGTTGACTAGACTCTGCAAGCCCTGCGTCCGGTCTCTTACCTGCCAGCGTCTGGTCCAGTCAATAGCAAGTCCACACTGCTATAGTTGAGATCGTCGGTGCGTCTGGTGAACATTATTGTTCAGCGTCCGGTCAGTAAATGAGCACTCCATTCACTTCCGATTCAACATCTTCGTGAATGAGTTTATCTCCAAACGATCTTAGGACAAACCCTAAGCTACTGTCGGGGACCAATACTAGAGTAACCGAAGAGGAGGAGCTAATAACCATCAACGTTGATTCATCCAAGCAGTCAAGAGCGTGACTACAGCTCTTGCCGACCACCGAGGCCACGGGCTCTGCCTCGTCCGACCACCAAGGCCACAAGCTCCGCCTCGTCCGACCACCAAGGTCGCGGGCTCCGCCTCATTCGACCCTGAGGGTTGGCTCCGCCTCTGCCGACATTGAGGCCGTGGGCTCCGCCCGCCTTGCTCGACCCCCGAGGGTTGGCTCCGCCTCATCCGACCCCCGGGCACGGGCTCTGCCTCACCCGACATCTGAAGGTTGGCTCCATCTCGACTGACCCCCGAGGGTAGGCTCCGCCTCGCTCGACATCTGAGGGCAAGCTTTGCCTCGCCCGATCCCTCGGGCATGGCTCCTAGCGGAAGCTCACGCCGTCGCCAACCACTATAGGCCAGAAAGTACAACCCAATGTCAAACTTCTGGCATCGTACAGGGAGCGGTCACATCTAAACATGACCCATCCCCATGACATGTCATTCTAGGGAACTCACATCGCCCACAGTGACGGACGCGTGGTCACTATGCTGCCTACTCCATGTATGACCGCTGATCAGCACGCTGGTTCACCGCACCACCCACCGGGGCGGAGTGGGACATCACGACCCACTGACAATGCCAGGGCATGCCATCATCGGTGGACAGGGGCTCAACGTGGAGCTATCCCTGTCACCACCTGCCGTGTCAGCGGAACCCACACAAAGGAAAAGAAAGATTCGGCAACCCTGAAGGACTTTTTCTCTCTCTCTCTCGTTCTCCCGCTGTAACCTGTGCTTTCCCTTGGCCTATAAAAGGAAAAAGTAGGGCATCCCACTAAGAGGCATCAGAAAAGACCACTAGCATCAAACCTCGAACACATAGCCGAGCAGCGACCGAGCTCTCGGTACCCATTCGTTCTTTCCATCAGAGACTTGGGACCTATCCCTCTCTCGCTCGTTTGTAACCCCTACTATAAACTTTTCAGTGCTAGTAACACGAGCAGCAGTAATGAACTGGACGTAGGGACATTCCGCCCGAACCAGTATAAACCTCGTGTCCTCTTAACACACCATCCGAGCCAGACGCACAATAATACAAATTTACTCGTTGGTGTTTACTCGAAACACCGACAACTACCTAGTGCTAAGTTTGACAAGTGTGCACCACACCTAAACCATTAGACTTACCTAGGTCAAGCTACTCGTTCATACTCCCCTTAATAGTATGGCCAAAGGAAAAACAAAGTCCTAAACTACTCTAAGTGTCTCTCCAACGCCAAACGACACTTAGAACTAGTCCGTCCTTAACCTTGTCGTCCATCCTTTGAAAACCAAAACGATTTCCGTCGATAGGGGCATGAAAACCATAATTGCCCAAACAATCATCATTACCATGATCTAACTCAAATTGCCTTTGCAAAACACACATTAGTCATAGTAATCTTATGTCATCATTAATTACCGAAACCCAGCTAGGGGCCTAGATGCTTTCAATCTCCTCCTTTTTGGTGATTGATGACAACACTACCCCGAGTATGTGTATATGTGATGGGTGAGGTTTTCAACATACTTGGTTCATATAAGCATTTGACAATAAGAACAAGGGGGTTAGGCATGCTTATATGACCCAAGCCAACACAAAGTACTCACAAGATATGAATTAAGCAGGAGTACGAAATATAAAGCTCATTTGAATCGGAGTAGAACACGGAAGCTAAGTGTAACACCCTCGGTGTTACACCGTAAATCATTTACTAAAACATGTCATGAGCATCATGTTTATGTGTTAATGCGTGTAATAAAGTGTGTAGATCAATTTCTGTAACTCGAAATGATCAACTAAAAGACGAAACAAAAGTTGATTCGATAGTCATGTTATATCACTTAGGGTTTAAAACCAATTTTTATTAAGCAAAAGTGCTATAGAACATATATGGGTCACCTTGATAAAGTTGGAAGTACAAACTTTGTAGATGACAGTAAAATACTTGTGGTCGAAAAATGATATTACTAGCTAATATTTCCACTAGCTTAGAAATCGCAAATAGAAATCAAATTTAGCTAAAAAACTTAGAAATTTTCAAGTCTGCCAACAGTTAGACACTGCTATGTTTAGCAATTTATTGTGAGAGATTGGGTTAAGGAGTGGTGTAGTGTTATAGCTCGATTTGGTAGTATCATGTGTCATCTTGAGCATGGTGAAGATGGTTTAGGTCCTAAAGCAATCATTTGGTCATGTTGAACGCTTTAAAATTCATGCGTGTCACGGTCTCGGGTTGGTTGGCGCTGGGTGCGCGGTCACCGCGTGGCCTTCTCACGCTGTGCACATGGCCATGTTCCGTGCGGTCAAGCATGCCACCGCGCTTGGCCGGTCATGCCGCCTGGGCTTGGCCGAGGCCGGGTGCAGCAAGCCACTAGTCCCGCACCCTGCTGCTCTGCCTCGCGCTGCCGTTTGGGTGCCACCGCGGCCGTGCTGCGCTGTCATCGCGTCCACACTACCGACGTTCCTTGCATCATGATGCCATCGCTGCTGTCGCATCGTCACCGTGTCCACACCGGTCTGCTGCATCTCTGCGCTGTTGTCAACCATGTGCGTGTCGTCTCTACCGCGCGCACATGGGTGAGCCACCGTCGCCATGCCATTTATGGCGCTACGGAGCACGAGCCACACCGGTCGGACGCGGGTACATGTTGTCCATAGCACTGGCATGTGGGCCTTCCGAGCTCCCCGCTCACATCTCGCCAAGGCAAGGACGAGCCAAGCCCACTACCGCGCTCCATTTATCTCTTTCTCTCTTCTCTCTCTACTTTTCGCCGCCGTCGAGTCATGTCACGGCGAGTCAGAGAGCAAGCACCTCTCATCAATTCCTCATGCTCGCATCTCCGCCTTCATGCCCCTATCCAACCGCCCCACCCCGCCTTGACTCACGTCACGCCGAGCTCCAATTTTGGAGCTTTGCCCGTCGCCGTGGCGTTAAGGCCCGTCACCGCCCGTGCCATGGCCAGCCTCCACCACTTCACCCCGCGCTAATTCCTCTACACCACTAGCTCACCTTGGCTCCCTCTCCACCGTGAGCATGCCAGTGGGAGCGCTACTGCCTCCCTGCTATCGCTGACGCGGCCGTGTCCGCCGTGGCTTGTCGCCGTGCTCACCGCGCGCACGTGGCCAACACTGCTCAGGTAGTCACCGGCCGAACTACAACTTCGACCTGGTTTGCGTTGTGCCCCTGGTGC